TAAATTTTTTTTTTTTTTTTTTTTTTTTTTGTACCGGGGATTGAACTCAGGAGAAGTTGAGCTTGTGAGGCAGGCATGATGCCACTGAGCTAAATCCCTGACTGCTTAAGAAATATCACAGGCTGCTTGCTCCTCCTCCATGACCAGGATGCCCTCTCCTGTCATGCTTCCCAGTTTCTCTGACGGCTCCTATATATCCCTCCACTATAGTCATGCCTGTTAGTCTGAGAGGCCCAGCCTGACACTATTCAAATATGAAACCATTTAAGTCACTCATGTTTAAAAACTAATAGGAGTCATATGAAATACTGGGTTTCTTGACTCTCTATCTTTCCAATTTTAGTATATGTGCAGATGAAGTGAATACAATTTCTTGACTCTTTTGAAGAATCTACAGACTGGCAACAGCAGCCCTGCATTAGTTTCTGGCATGGCATCAACTGCGACAAAGGATCAGGTGCTCCATCTGGACAGGAAGTGGTCACATCTGGTCCCAGCATACTTACCATTCCTGTTGCCTCCCAGCCCCACTGATTTGCTCCTTTAGATGACCTGCCTGGTTTTGGAAGGTATTTATGTTAAAAACCCTTGTCTCAACCACTTTGATCTGAGTGCCTTGTGCCTTCCATCCAGCTCATGAGGTAAGACCCTCCTGCCCTGAGACCACCTCCAGCGATAAGCTCATCCATACCAGCCTCCTTGACCATCTTTTTTCTCAGCCCAGCACACAAGTGTCAGGAAATGTGTTGCTGCTCCCAAACACCTCTCTGGACCACTAGCTCAGCCCTCTACTCCTCCCACCCTCCAAGTTCCACAACTTCCACAGTGTTCACTCAGAAAACAGGGTGGCCAATCCAATATCCTTTATTAGTTCTAAAGAAGGACCCCCACATTCTTATACTAAGGCAAGAATTACTGGATTTTGTGCCGGGGTGCTGAGATGGCTTGGACAATCCTAAGTGGGGGGAGGTATTTCCGGGGTGCCATAAAAATGGGATGACGTGGTTTAATCTTGTTGATGTTATGCAGATCCAGGACCAAAGACTTAGGGTTGTAGATCCCTTTCTTCTGGGGCGGGATCGGGATGAATGTAGGTCGTTGGTGAGGTTCTACCAACAGCCGCATGAAGTCCTTTCGAAAGATATTCCAGCTGTTCTCCTTAAGGAACTTCTGGCACAGTTCTTCATCACTGAAGAGTAGGCACAGAAGCTGAGGTGTTGTAGCTCCTCCCTGGCCCCTACCCCTACGACCTTGTCTCCTGCTACTCCTTCCTATCCCTAAACAATCAGACCTCATCCCGGGTCTCTGCTGTTTCCCCAGCTCCTCTCCCTGTCTTCTCTACTTTTCTACAACCTTCTTCCCTTAGACCTGTGCTATCCTATGGCAGTGGCCATGAGCCCCATATGGCTACTGAGTACCTGAAATGTGGCCAGTCTGAATTAGAGATGTGCTGTGGGTATTCCCTTTAGTTTTATGTTGATAAAATATAATAAGTCATAATAATAATACTTTAAACTAAATCCAATAGAAATCCAATAGAAAAATTACCATATGACCTATCAATTTATTCCTATATTTCATAAAAGCCAAAAAAGAAACAATCCAAACATTCATCAGCTGATAACTTGATAAAGTATAGTATATACATACATGAGTCCATTTACACGAAATATAATCCAAACGTTCATCAGCTGATAAATTGATAAGGTACAGTGTAAACATATGAGTCCATTCATATGAAATGTCTAGAACAGGAAAATCTATAGAGACAGACAGCAGATAGGTGGCTGCCTTGGTCTAGGACAAAGTCAACTGTGATCCATACAGATCAACCTATGCAAAAACTCCTAAAGGTCAGAATGAGCTACAAGCTAGTCCTCTTAATTTCAGTGATGTGCCAAAGCCACCTCTCTAGGTGTTTACCTAAGGGCATACCTAATTATGTGTATCTCTTCTCAACTCCATATTAAGTGACATCAGAAGGCAGCTTGAATTTGGCCATGGTGGGAAGAAATCAGCAATCAGCAAAACTTGCCAGTCATGGCTTCCTCTCACTTCCTGGAGAGCTGGCTGCCAAATATTTTCTGGCACACCACGGGACAGCTTCCACTTAATAAATTTCATTAATTCCTAATTTCTTACATAGTAATAGTCTCTGATTTTGAAATAGTAGTACTTACCATGTTTCCTTCCTCCTTTAGCAGTCCAGAAAACTGTGACTGGAACAATTAATGGAGAAGACAGAATTCCTGCTGTCAGCATTATGTACGACTACAGCAAAATGCTGACTGAGTAGTGCAGGCACTGAGCTCACAAACATCTGTGTGCTCAAGTCTCTGTGAGCCTTTTTGGAATTTCATTTCCATAAACATTGACACCATCCAGGGCCAGGCATCCTGTGAGGGCTGAGGCTCCTCAGTTTCATTTTCTTTTCTTTTTTTTAATGGCAGAAAAGTTTTATTAAAAGCAGGAAAAGAAAACAGGCTCTACAGAGCAGGTTTGGGCCAAGTAAAAGTAGGAAAAGAAGCAAGCTACAGTATGAGGGTGGGCCACCGTGCAAAAAAGAATACAGTGACCATCCTCAGTTTCTTTATCAAGTCAGTTTGAACAGCCATTCTCAATACTGGTAGTGCACAAGAAGTAGAGAAATATAGATAGCACCTCTCAACCAGAAGCCACCATTTGAATCTCCATTTGTTTGGCCATATCTACATAGGTTTTTTTAAAATTTTTTTAATACTCATGACTTTTCTTAAACTTACTCAGTTTTGTTTGCTCAAATATCCACTTTAGCTATCTCAAGATCTGTCCAATCTTGGGTTTAGTAAGCTCATCGAGACTAAAAATGCCAATCCATGTACCACCTGAAGTCATCTTACAAATCTGCTGTAGAAATATGATCTACACTTTGAGAAGCACTGATCTAGGCAATTTTTCTTGTTTTGCTGTCTGAACTCTGAAGCCTAGGGGAGGGGAAATGATGCCTAGGGGAGGGAAAATGACTTGTCCAAGATCATAGCTCTCAGATAAAATTCTTTCATGTGCTTATTGGACATGGCTATAAGAATCTACAGATTTGCCTGTCTCCTCACCTCCTCTTTACTACTGGAATCTTTGGCTTCTCACTCCTACTGGCAAAACCAAGTAAGTGTACATACATATAGTACAAAGCAATAGTCATAATATATGTACAATTTCATATTGTCCTTTTCATGTATCACTATCTTCTCCATTTTACTCTCCAGTCATAGAGCCATGAAACTTATCATCCTTTAATAAACCAGTTATGTTCTAGCAGGGGAATGCACTGCAATTTTCTAAACTATCCCTTTAGTGTAACATATGTGGGTGTTGGCTATTGATTCCCTCTCTATTATGAATATGACTGCTATGAACTTCTTAATGCATATGGCTTTCCCCACATTTTGGGTTTATAAAGACAAATTCACAGGTGGATCATTGACTCAATAGGGATAGTTTTCTATCCGTTGAAACACAGTGCTAAAACTGTCAAAGGGATTGAGCCAAGTTAGTGTGTAAAAACTATCAGTTTCATTTCACCTTTGTTGTATTATTTTTTCTTTTCTTTCTTCTTTCTCCCCCCCAACTCTCCCTCCCTCCTTCCCTCCCTCTATCTCTCTCTCTCTTTCTTTCCTTCACAAAAAATAACAGGTAAAGTATGCTCAGCACTGACCTGGGATATTCAACCTCCATCTCTGTCAATCTTTTTCTTGTCTCATCATCAACCAATTCAAGAAATTTTTCTCTCCTTAGCTGTATTAACTCAGCTCCCAGGCTCACCAGTATGAAGGGTCGCATGTCACATTGGTTCTCTGGAAAGAAGGCCTGGTGAAAGCCCTAGAGAGAAGTCACAGGAAGCTAGACCAAGAGACAAACCAACTCTAGCAGTGGATTTTGTAAGTGGGAGGAATAAGACCTCAAATGGAAGGAGAAGCCATTTTGAGGGCACTAAGCATGTGATGGGAGAGAAGGGTGCAGTCCAGGGCACCTTTTGCTATGACATCACAGTCCTCAGAGCCCCAGGATCAGATCATCCCTAAGCACTTTCTCTAAGGTCCTACTCTGCAGATAAGTTTTTGCACTAAGAACTAATATTCAGTGCTGCTCTTGAGCTTGCCCCACATCCAATTTCAACTTACCTTTGTTTGTCTGTCTGTTTGGTTTTCTCTCTTTTTTTAAGACAGGGTCTTGCTACACATGGCTCAGGCTAGTATTGAACTCCTGGACTCAAGTGATCCTCCTGCCTCAGCCTTCTGAGCAGCTGGGACTAGAGGCACATGCTACTGTGGCTAACCCTCAATTCTTTTTGCCGTAAATCTGTTTCCCATTTCTTCCAATTTTACAACAAAAAACAGCTGGTCCTCTTCTAGACCTCCCCTTTTCAAATGCCCAAATCCTACCCCATCCTTTCCTGCAGCCCCCCAATCTCCATCCTTCATAGATATTAAGGACTGCTGCCCTCCTCTCCGCAGCTCATATTATACCCCCTGGTCTTTGGCTTGATTCATACCTGGTAATATCTGGCAGGGGGATTGCTATGGCTTATATCTACAAGTCCCCCAAGACCTCAGGTGCTCATAGGTGGGGCTTTTGGGAAGTGGCTGGATCATGGAAGAATGATACCCCTCACTGGGTTAGTTCACTGATGAGTTTATAACTAAATGTGAGGTTAGGAGGTAAAACCTGATTGCAGGAGACGGGTCATCCAAGATGTAGGCTGGAAGGGTCTATCTCTCTCCCTCTCTGCTTCCCATTGTCGTCCTTGAGCAACCTTCCTCTGCCATGCTGTCCTGCTTTGGAGCCAGCTGACTATAGACTGAAACCTCTACAAACTGTGAGCCAAAATAAACCTTTGCTTCTTCTTCTTCTTCTTTTTTTTTTTTTTTTTTTTTTTT